TCTGTTTTTTACACCTGAAATCCGCCCGCAGAAGTGAACCTGTCAGAAGGTACAGCGAGGCCTCTCGGCAGAGCCACTAATGATATCTCTGCATATTTAAAGATGCCTCACTTCTCGCAAGTCCCGTTTCCCGCTCGAGTTGAGCAGTAGCCGTGCCCTATGCATGACAACTATATTGCAATAACTCCGAGAATTGACTCATGAGACGCAGAGCACTATCGCTTTGTCATTTTCAATTACTGATGCTTGTCAGTAGCAATGGGATCAGTGCACTGATGTTATCTCAAGCAACCAGATCATTTCAGCTCCATTACACGGCGCGTTATCCAAAAATCTGTCGCTGGTTTCGATGATAAATGAGGACTGTGATGTAGTTAATATGAGCCACCACATCCGATAATGTAGAGGACTCAATCTCAGGGCCGTGCAATCAAGCGAAAAGTGTGAATGGAATCACTAAAGGGTGCGAATGGACTCATTTACTGATGCATATTGCTTTGAAATAAGCGGCTATGATGGTTAATGGTGTCTCAATAACATTTGGCGGTTGTGCATGCACTCTATAAAGTCCTCTTCGCGTAACATTTTAGTAGTCAGCCGGGACAGCCCGTCTCGTTTTCTTCTTGAGGCGAGCGCTAAACAATGAGTCCATAAATTATTCTCAAGAAGAAAAACTCTGTGTGTTTTACTAAATGATCCATATGGTCTGTCTCCCAGCGTGAAGACGAGGCCCACGGAGCCGTGTGATCCGGAAACCTCTTTAAGATTTCACAGTGATGTGGCTGGGTTTGGCGGCCGGCGGGCCGACTGTAAGAAGGCAGCTGTGGCGCTGAGAGAATTACATAACACACATTTCAGCAGTCATCGCCTACGGTAATGGGAATCCGCTCGGATGCATGGGCCTAAACAAGGCGGTGGATAAGCGAGAGCTCGCGGTCTCTGCCTGGACTGGCCCAAGCTTTGCTTGAAGTTGGTTCAATGGAGGGCAGAACCGAGTTTCCAAGCATAGTAGATTTGGTCTTTTTGGTATCTCTTTCCAGCCGGGGTTTCGGAGTGGCAGAGACTGCAGCACGGAATAATATGCACGCTTGGCACTTTTGCTCAAATCCTCCTGTCAATCCTCATAAGCATGCAACTACAGGAGCCGTTCTGCAGCTCAGGACGGGGGGCTGTGACATGGGATAGATTTCAAAGGGGGAATTTGAAATGTGGCGTGTTTTTTTTGGTTGTTTATCTTGAGGTTTGGCGAGATGGGGGGTATGGGTTAAAAAGGGTTGGTTTATTCTTAGACTTTTCCTTGGGGCATTTAGTCGAGAAAGCAACGTAATGACTTTAGAGAAGCGTTCCTGTAAGTAGTTGACACTGTGAAACACACAATGTGCTGCCTTAGCACAGTGCATTAGGCTCTTTGGAGAGTCATTACAGTATCAGTTACAGAGTTTGCCCTGGCCTGAGGCTGCAAGAGAAAAAACGTCTGGTGGATCCGAGCGCGCAAAGATGCAAAAGTACAAAAACATTTTCTTAACCACATCCTGATTAAGAATCTCTTATAAAGAGGGGATCAAACATCCTCGCTGTGATTACAGTATTAGCATGCAAATTAAATGTAGAAAAGACGTTTCAAAGAGCTACAAGTGCAGTTTCCTTTTTGTGCTTGTCAGTCATAATTCTACACTCTCAGAAAAAAGGTACAAAAGCTGTCACTGGGGCTGTACTTTTTCAAAAGGAAAACTTTTGTCCATTTTATGTGCTAATATGTACATTTTATGTGCTAATAAGTACATTTTAGGTGTTAATATGTACAGTTTAGGTGCTAATATGTACATTTTAAGTGTTAATATGTACATTTTAAGCGTTAATGTACATTTTAGGGTACATTTTAGCTAATAATATGTACATTTTAGGTGCTAATATGTACATTTCAGATGCTAATATGCACATTTTAGGTGATAATATGTAACACTAAGGTACCAATATGCAGCCTTTGGGTACAAAAGTGTACCTTTTAGCCTCAGTGACAGCTTTTGTACCTTTTTTTCTGAGAGTGTATAATGCTTATGAGTAGTTGCATGCTTGTCATATGACAAATCATGTAAGAACAGCTATTAACTAGCACCATTCAATGACTGAAACCTCATACTGTGGGAAAAGTGCTATTTTTGACATCTACATCCATTAAGATTTTTTTCGTAATTTTATAAAGCAAATGCTACTTATTAGAGCTGATAAAAATGTCATAATTTGACTTTACTGTTTATAACATTACATGATTTGTAAAATACAACGTGGAGCAATATGGAGTGATTAATAATCACTGTTTTGAGTTAGTTGTTTTTAACTTTTTGCACTGATGTCAAAAATGATTCATAACACGAGCATAATCTTTTGGTTTGCATTCGTCGGTTTCCAAATAAAAAGAAACAATCAAATAAATGAAATGTACCGTTCATTTGTAAAGTGTTTAATTCAATAGCTCAACAAGATAAAAGATTATATCAAATAACAAAGAACAAAAAGTAATTGCATTAGCTGTCACATTCATTTTTGTATTAATGGTGGGATTTTTACTCATGAAAATTACTCATCATTAAATTCTAATTTATTGAACTGTTGTATAAAAGCAATATTATACTTGCAAAATGCTATTCACTCTTGCTCATGTGATGCAGCATATCACCAGTACAAAAAGTAGTAAAAGCAAAAGACTCAAAACAGTGAAACTAATATTTTAAAACATAGTATAAATGATTGATATTGTAATACAAGACTCTGGTCATATCATTCATCTCTAATACTTATCATTGTGGTTAAACAGAGGAAAACATCTCATAAGGCATTCTTTTCCTTGCTCTCCACCACATGTTATTGCAGCTGCAAGCAAGATTTCAAAACCAAGCCTAAAAATATCAGACAGTTGAAACGAAAGCGATGAGAACAAAAGACATTTCAAGTTCCCCAAAGTCCCAAAATAGATGCAATGAGACAAAAGCACTCCAGAAGAGTCTGATGTGCCAATGTATCCGATGAGTTCCACAATGGTCATTCGGTTTCGATGGGACAGACGCCATACCGTTCTCTGTTCCAATTTTGCAGATACCCTTCTCCACAGGAGTAGGTGAGTCACACTGAGAGTCTCTTCAAGGTGAGGTATTTTGGATATCCTCTGTCATGGCTATAGGGCACGTGATGGTTGATGGAGGAGCTTCAGGCAAGGATCTTTTGTTCTATATTGAATTTTGCAACTACACACAATCCCTTTTCAATAGGTCCTCCCCTGACATAGCAGGATACTTGAGCCGCGTGTTAAAAATTGAATTGTGTTTTTCTTGTAATATCATATTTATGACCTGAAATGGCCTCTGAGGTCTTTGAGTGCAACGTGTCAATATGCTGACTGACATTTTGCTTAGCTAAAGTCTTTTTAAAAGACAACGCACATGATCGCCATCCACATTTAATCAATTTCAAGCACGACCAGAAGAATAACCTGAGGTGAAAAAGCTGCAACGTCTAGAGAATGAGTCGTCTTGTAGGTCCATCAAAGCTCGGAAGAAGATCTCTGGCCTATTTCTTTCCACTTACTAGGGATTACACGGTTTGTGAGCAATATTCGCTGCTTTAGAGGAAGTCTGGCCTTTAGGATCACTTAGCACTCATAGCACCAAGGGCACAGGAGCTCTCTTGAGGTCAAATGTCAGTCTTTGAGCATTTCTTATTCATATAAAACCATTGAAAGTCAATAGCAAAGCCAAACACTGGCTCCCCAACTCCTACATGCACCCTTCCTAGTCCTACTACCACTCCACACTGCAGTTGAGATACACCTGTGAACTTTTCTTCTTCAACAGCAAGATTTTAGGTTAAAATTTGCATGAATGTACAAGCGTATATTTTGTAGTTTCTGGTTCTGCAATTTTATCCCCATTAGCTTCTGCAGTTCCTTTATTTTTTTTTTTAAAGTACAAAAATTGCACTACATGCATTTGCATGTGAATTGTCACTACATACAAACTTGCATAAATGCATGTAGTGCGATCCATTTTCAAAATAACCAATACTGCATGACCATCTATCAAAACTCAAGGTTAGCGGCATCATGACCAGATAAACCAACCAATAAACAATGGTGCCAAAGCAGCCAGGATTAGACGCATCATATTGAGAAAAATGCAATCACAACCCATAGGTTAATAAAAATGGCCGAGCAATCTAAAAATCGATGCACGTTGAGAAAGCAATGCACCGGCATCAATGGATGGACCATGCTTTGCCCCTTCAGCACTGCGGAGAGCTCAACTCTGCGCAAAGCATGCCTCTATCCATGCGCTCGCGACGCGCCACAGTCATTACTCACATGTGCACGGTGCAAACCAATTCTGTTCCCTAAATGGATTTCATAAATCTCAAATCGTTGTGAATGCATGAGTGCATAAACCAACGTCCATGTGGATGCCAGTGTGCATTGTCCACGCGCCGCATGGCTCCATCCTCGTGAGTGGGAAAAGTGTCATTTGCTTGAAAATGAGTAGATTATGCATACGATTCTACACAGTTTCATAGAGATGCGGACTATATACGTCAGTCAAGCACGTTTAACAGCCAGACACATTATGAGTCAATCACGCGCATGCATTTATATATAATGCAGTAGAGTCGAGAGTCTGTGCAGTGCCAAGGGAACTGAAAAAACACTGATAGGACAGATGTAGATCTATTATTCAAAGAGTCTCTGTTTGTATTATTCAGTTCTTAATTTCCCAGCATGTTTTGCTACATTGCACTATAGGTCGCAAGAAGTAAGCTGTATGGCATGAAAGCATCAAATTATTTCAACCACGTGGCATTTTAAAATGCTTATGCAGTATACTAAAGTTGCAATTATGCAAAATGCAATAAATACTGTTGGTCGCGTATGTATAAGTTGCGCGTGCACGCAAGAGCGCACTGACACGCGAAAAAAAGTTGGATAAATTGCAAAGACAGAGATTAAAGCAATTCACCTGCTGCCAGTTTTCCTCCAGAGACGGCATCGCGGAGAAGTAGCCAGTGTCATGAACAAGTTGAAGTTCTTGAAAAATACTGTAATTGGCCAGAACATCCATGTTTGTGCAGCTAAACGGTGCGTTTGAGAGACTTTGATTCTCTGCGCGAGGAATCCGCGTTCTCTTCTGCGCGAGCGACTGAAACATTCAGATCAGTCACGAAATCCGAAACGTTTCAGTTCACTATGGACACTAAAATATATTTAATAGTAAAGGATCCATCCATCCAGGTTTGTTTGCTTTCCTCACAATGTTTCTGGAAGGTGAGCTGCAGGAGCAGAGTAGCTCACAGGTTACTGTGTCAGTCAGAGTGGGGAGCCACCGTACCGTCTGCGGATGCCCGCGAATCAAGGGGGCGTGCTCATCTGTCAATCAACTTCGTGCGTAACCATATAAGGAAAAAAGGGACGAAAACATTGGTGGCGAATCAGAAAGGCGGAGCTAAACTCGGACAGTGGGAGGAGTTCGATGCTGTTCTGGACCTATGATTCGTTCTCCGAAATTGCCACTCACAACATACATGCCTTTGAAAGACGAGCTATATTTAGACCGCTATATAACATACGATTCAGCGTTCGAGTCTCATTCGAAGCAAGAGCTTCCAGAGAGCAGCCACGTAGTGATTCAGGTCTGTTCAACACACTGAAGTGATGAAAAAAATACACATTTAAAAACACTTGGCGCTCTAGACGTTAAAACAAAGATTATGCTAACATAATTATGCTAACAAAACAGTGAGAGAAATCGTGACTTTTTTTGTAAGTGCTGTCTATCTTTTATATACTGTCTGTCTGTCTGTCTGTCTGTCTGTCTGTCTATCTATCTATCTATCTATCTATCTATCTATCTGTCTGTCTGTCTGTCTGTCTGTCTGTCTGTCTGTCTGTCTGTCTGTCTGTCTATCTATCTATCTATCTATCTATCTGTCTGTCTGTCTGTCTGTCTGTCTGTCTGTCTGCATATCTATCTTTCTATCTATCTATCTATCTATCTATCTATCTATCTATCTATCTATCTATCTATCTATCTATCTATCTGTCTGTCTGCATATCTATATCTATCTATCTATCTATCTATCTATCTATCTATCTGTCTGTCTGTCTGCATATCTATCTATCTATCTATCTATCTATCTATCTATCTATCTATCTATCTATCTATCTATCTATCTATCTATCTATCTATCTATCTATCTATCTATCTATCTATCTATCTATCTATCTATCTATCTATCTATCTATCTATCTATCTATCTATCTATCTATCTATCGCACTCTGTAACCCTGACTTTTGATTTGCTATGTGCAGCTTAACTCACGTGTTATTTACATGGAAATCAGATGGCGTATAAGCCTGAGTACCTCTTTGAACTATAAGTACTGCGCAGCCATCTCACAACATCCCTGACCTTGTGTCATGCATGTAATTACATAAGTGGAACCTATAAACTATGAGAGGCTCTGAAAGGAAAATCTTGACCAAATCTGTTCGCTCTTTCACTTCAGCTGGAAAGAAAAGCGGGGAGGGGGGAATCATGGAATAGGCTTTAGTTGTTATGGCTCATTTGATTTGAATTATTCATATTCTTCACCAGATGATGCTTTGGCTCTTGGTGAGCATGTGTTATTTCTTTCATCTGGTACCTGCTCTGTGGAATGAGGTATGAATGAATTCATGAATTCACCGGTGAATCTAAGAGTGACCTTAAAAAAACACTCTGGAGACAGAGGAGGTATAAAGAACGAATCTGTTTTTCTCCTCTATAGCAGTTTTCATCCAAGATGGTCTGAGACGCTGGGATTTTCCTCTGTTATTAGAACAGAAGGCTGGAGGATAGGGGGATTGTTCCATCAAAAGTGAAGTCTTGAGGTTTTAGTAGTCATGAACGTCCTCTCACTTATGGATGTGACTGACCTACATGGAGGTGAATTGGCGTATGGTTCTTTGGAGATTATAAAAGATGTTTCTTTATGGGTTGTTCAGATCAGTGTTTTGGTGCTTCACAGAGTACAGTTGATTTTCTAAAAAATGAAATAAAAAATAAAAAAATAGTTCACTTTGAAATTCATTTTTGGTATGTTTTATCTTACCTCAAGGGCATCCAAGATGTAGGTGTCTTTGTTTCCACAGTATTTTCAATTTTGATATTTTTAGGTCAAACCGTTCTTGTCTGTCAGTCATATAATGGAGGTCTATGGTCACCACCTCAAAGAGCATGCACAGAGAAGTCCAAATTAAACATGATTTAATGACTCGTAAATGTAAGTACACACTGATGGCCTAAGACACGAAACGAGCGGTTTGTGTGAGAAAACGAACAGTATTTATATCGTTTTTAAGCTAAAGCATATCAAAAATTAATTTCAAAGTGAACTATTCCTTTAACAATATAAGACTGGATGCTGACAAATAAGAATGGGAAAAACATAGCTTTAAAATGCATGTTTTTTTGTTGTTTAGAAAAACATTCTTTGTAGAAATATTTTCGTATTTTATACAATTTTCAACAATAGTGGTATTAAGGATAAATGGCTATAACAGTGTCAAGTAACCATAATTACTTTCCTGAATATAAATATTTTACAAATATTATGCGTTTTTGAATCATGAATTTCATTACGTTGTCTTGGGGTTGTACCCTTTTGGCAACCTGAACCGTAAATGCCATAAAAGGGAAAATTAATCTGATACTTTTAAGAGACATTGACACATAATCTTTTTTTAACACAAAGAAATGGCTTTCTGCATGTTTCAAACTTTTTTTAAACAAAACAAACGTTTTACTTATTTATTAAATTAGCTTTTTTTCTTCAGTCTTTTAATCATACTCTTTTATTTTCTCAAGCAGGTTACACCATGCAGCTTCTGTAGGCATTCCCAAATTAATTCAAATTAATTCAGTATCCATCATCTTTGAAGTGATGTTTTCATCATTTTTGAACAAATTGTGTTTTTAATGTATTTTTGTTAGCAAATGAAAGAATGAGCGTGATGACATATCGACCCCTTTCATTTGTAAATGCAGTTCTTATTTTTAAGAGTGTGTTAGACACTGTGTGTTTACTAATAAGTACAGTAAAGTTTGGATGTTAACTGCATGTCATCATGCAAATAGTTTGTTTGACAGTTTGTTTAATTTGACTGAGAGACAGTAGAGATAAGACAGTTGGAAAGTGAGAAAGTGAGGTAATTGTAATCTGCCTTAGTGTAAAGCCTACTTTTTCTTCCAGCGTGTGTGAAATGTAGCTGATTTGCTCTCTTTGTGTAAGCCAGGTTTATGTGTGCCTCCCCAGCCCACCCCTGTGCGTCCACAGTGGCAGCGAGTGCTGTAATCTCATTATTCTGCTCTGGGAGACTGGCTGTCGGCCCTGGAACTACGATTTACACATGGCATTTCAACAGGGAGGGGAGGGCCATGCTGTCGATGAAGCGCCCACTGACATTTATCCATTTGACACGTTAGCCTCTCTCTCTCTCTCTTTCTATCTGTAACTTATACACACAAACAAACACCAAATGTGTTTTCCATTCCACCTATAACACAGCTATATATTTACCGGCATTAGGGATTTCAACAAACTAACCCTAAGAGTTAAATGCAGGGTTCCCCACCAACAGTGCACATTTTGGATGTCTCCCTTAAAGGGATACTCCACTGTTTTTTTCATATTAAACTATGTTATTCCCTTAACTAAGACGAGTTGATGCATACCTCTCTCGTCTCAATCGCTCTGGCGCGCGAGACACTTTGATCGCACTTAACTAGCCCAGTTCATTGAATAGGGGCCAAGCAGAGAAGTGACCAAACACTGCTACGTTTTCCCTATTTAAATACAGTTACACGAGTAGAGTAACTCAACCAACAATGGTGACACAAAATAAAACGTTGCAGTTTTCTAAGTGTGTAAAGTGGATAACTATAATCAGTCCCTCCAGGATTTCACGATTTTTTTTGTGTGATTTTTGCGATCAAAATGACTGATTTTGTGGTGGTAATTTCCAAAAATTTGTGAAAAAATTTGCGATTTATATTTAACATTTACCTAGTATTCAGTCCTTCCAGAAAAACACGGAGTTTTTTTTTGTGATTGTTGCGGGCAAAAATTGATTGATTATGTGGCCAGTTTTCTTTAAAAATGCAATGGAATATGTGGGATATTTATGCAATTTTATGCGATGAAATTGCTGGAATTTACAAAAATTGAGGGAACTTGCAAAAATTGCGGTTTGATGAAAAAGAGAAAAAAAGTTATTCCCCCGACATCCTGTTAATATAAGAGTCATTTCTTATTACTTCCTTTGATAAACAAGCATATACATCATAGAAAGTGCTGGGAATATTTAATTTCTCATCTTGTTTTATTTCAGACTCTAAGAGTGTAAATAAGGTGTGGCCCCTTTAAGAGCTGCGCGCTCCCTGTTGAACTGTCGAACACCCTATGTGTGCGGGTAATTTCTGTTTGATGCTAGGCTACTACTTTTATCTTATGTTGTTTATTAAGTAACAATGTGACAGTAGAACGTTCGACAGACAGTCATACGAGTTCGATTTGTGAGACTGTCTGGCGTCGCGTAATTGCGTCACTTCATAACGTTCCCATGGAAACAGGGGGAAATGGCTGCTCTTATGTGAAGCAAACGCAACATTTTTCAACTTTCTGCTAAGATACATGTGACTTTTTTTTTGCAACGAAAATGCGAGGATTATGAAATTATGCAAACCCCACATATTTTGCACGGAAATCGGCAATTTATGCGGCGAAAGTGAGGCGTATTTGAAAAAAATGCGGCCCCCGCATAAATGTGCGGACTTTGGCTGATTTTGCATTGAATTCAGCGATCGCATAATCGCGTTTTTCTGGAGGGACTGTATAATATATGGCGGAATACCACAGCAAGTGCTTGGTGCCCAATCACTTGTTGATACATACCTGTGGTATTACCCTTAGCCTCTAACCAAACAAAAAGAAAAGGTAAATATCAAAATAAAACTTTCCCCAATTAACAACAAATTTTTAACTAAAAATATACACGTCACTATAACAAACATAATTTAATCAACTACTTGAAGCACAATACAAAACTACTTCAAACAAACAAAATAGAATTAAACTGGCTGAAATAATAAAAAGGAATCCCCCTCCTCATCGGATCAAGATGGTACAGTCCAATTTCCTTGGAACCGCTCAAAAGTGGAGGCTGAAGCGCCGCCTCTTCCTTTAGGCCGTCACTATGGACACGCCACGCGGCCGTTCACTCCATGGACCTGAGGAATCCAGGACTAAGGTAAAGTCAAACAGTAAAGA